CCAGATCCTAAGGGACGGGCGGGCGCGTGGGGAAGGCGGCGCCCCGCGAGGGAACGGGGCCCAAGCGGTTTCGGCCTCCTGGTTGGCGCCGGCGCGCAGGGCGGGGCGGGGCGGGCGGGCCCGCGCTCGGGCGCCCCCTCGCGGCGGCCCGCCGCACCGCACCGCGGCTCGAGCGCGGCCGGATGAGCTGCACGGCCCTAAACGGCTTGGGCCCGATTCCCTGGAGGGGCGCCTCCTTCCCCATGCGCCTGCCCGGCCCTTAGGATCTGGGGCAGACCCGCTTCTCCGGGAGCCTCCTTGAAGGGGATCAGGAGCGTGGCTGCCCGCAGGAGGGCCTTCCTTGCGGTGGCACCCCGATTGTGGAACACACTCCCCGGAGAGGCTCGCCTGGTGCCGACACTTTCCTTTCGGTGCCACGCGGGCACCTTTTCCATTTTCCCATGAAGACCTAACTCTTAATCGAGCTTTTCTTATAGCTATGATGCTGTGCTTTGCTTTATTAAGACCATCCTGAGACTCTCTGTAATAGGATAGAAAAGCTTTAAATAAATAAATACTCCGTAAATACATACATACTCACTCCTGACACTTTCCAAGGAGCAGATCGCCATCTCTCTCTTGCCCATGAATCGCTTGTGATCCCTTCCCTGCACAGGCATTTTCAAGTGCTTTTGCTTGCGTGCCTGTCGATACTCGCGCTCCCCGACGGCACTTGAGACAGCAACCGCAGCTTTGTATGTCTGCGGCATTATCTTCATTTAAAGGAGTGAGGTCCGCTCTTTCCGGACCTCCTTCAGCTGTAGGCGCTGAAGCAAAGAAGAAAAAGCAAGGCAGCTAGTTCTGTTTATGCCAGGGGTGGCTGCTCACTCAGCAGCGCTGGAGAATGGCCAAGATATACAACACTGAGCCCACGACACAAAATAGTGGAGTGGTAAAAGGTGGGCTCCCAGCTCACCTGCTGGAGCAGCAGTGGCTGCCTCACGGTCTGGAAGAATGCCCTGAAATTCAATTGCTTGGCAGACTTGCATTTGACGATAACCAAGTATTGCTCAGAGACTTCTGCAAGCTACTTGATGCCACTAATCACTAAAGGTAGTTCCTGTTAATGCTCTGAAGGATAACTTAAGGGATCTCAGATCCATGGTGGTTACGGCCCATTACTTTAAGTGCATGTTAACAGAACTTTGTCGTTCCGGCATCCTTTACAATAGCATGCCCCTAATCTTTCCCAGGGAACACGCACGCTTCCCCGATCCTATAAAGTTAACAGTCCCGGGACACAGCAAGCTGATTTATTCCCAGTCAGCCTGTTTGTCCTGCAAGACTCCCCTACTCCTAGCCAATGATTCTGAGAAAGGCTCTTCCCCATCAATGCTTACTCCATCTTTTTAACTGTTGATGCCGGGGACTGAGTCTTTACACGTCAGTTTTAAAAGCAGATTTGCAGGCATGTACTAACAGTCTCGACATTTTTATTCTGTATTTAACCACAAAAGTTTGACATATACATTTTTACATGAAAAAGATCAAAGAGGTGGAAATGCACCCAAGGAGGGAAGACTTTTAAAAATCTCATTTCTGCCATCATTACATGAATTCAGAGAAGAAAATAATTAAAAAGGAGAGAAGCTGAGAAATACTTCCCTTGGATGTATCGGGGTGCATCAGCGCTCCCAAGGGAGGCCTGGAAGAAGCAGGGGACTACCTTGGGAAGGGTGTGGGGGAAGACATGGAGACAGAGATGAGCAAAAGCAAAGAAAACCAGTAGGCAAGAGTTGCTCCTCCGAACATTCCCTTTACTTCAAATCCATTAAGTGTCGCTTGCAGGCCACTCATCTGCTGAAATTCCGCATCTATTTTGCATCACTTCAGCCAGGGAAAAACAGAGCAACAGATCATTTAGAGCCGTTTGGAAGGCCCTACGGTTGCCAGCTAGCATGCCTGCATGGGGAGCCCCTGCCCTGCCCCTAAACATGCACAGGATCGTGCCCTTAGTGTCTTCAAGCAATGTTCTAGTCATCCAGATTCCCCCCTAGCGCCACTCTTGGGGACAAAAACCAAAGCAAGGATTTCGAGGTGCCCTGGCTCGTGCCTGCTTCCAGAGACTTGTTCCAGCCATGCCCAGCGGCCCTCGAGTCCGAGTTCTGCTCCGGGGTCTCCCGCAAGCATGGCAGTGCGATCCCACACGCCTCCCTCCCCCCCATTCCTCAAGGATCGATTAATGGCCGAGGCGCGTTTCCTCCACCCCTCTGTAATGTCCACCTCCGAGGTCAGGAGTGTTACCAGGTTCATGCTTCGCGACCCTTGCAATCCCGCCTGGGGGGGATAAACCCACCTTTCCATTCATTCGCCCTCACTCAGCTCTCAGGAGTGACTTATAGTCGAGTGAATATTCAACTGGCTCCCACTGAAATGTTAAGGGTTTTCCTCCCAGAGCAAATCTAGAGGGGAAAAAAATCACCCTGTGCAACGTGTCAGGATAAATGGAATCCTCCCCGAGGAGGAACATGTAGAAGAGTTGTGGAATCAGTAGTTTGTTTGGTGCAGAAACCCCCTCCGGGTGAACGCATGTTGCTCAAACCACCCCGAACGCACGGCCAGGCCAGCAGCTCCTCAAAGGTGAGCACGGCTGGCTGCTACCAGACGGAGCGGGACGGCTACGCCCGCCTTCCACACCCACTTTTAAGAAAGCAGGTGCTCCCGCAAGATCCTTCCTTTGGACAAGACTTCCACCTCTCCCGGAATCCTTGGCTCCCCGGGCTGTCAAGAGGAGGCAGCTGGATGGGGAAGGGGAGAAACACTTGCAGGCCGAGGGAGGGCAGCTTCTGAAATCGGTGCCAGATCACGGACGTCTACAGTTGGTGAAGTTCACTGCCCTGTTTGTCCGGTGCTGGGGACTCTTAAGGCAGCCAGTGAGCTGGCGAAGGAGCCCTGTCCCGTCTCTCCCAGACTGTAAAGCTATGGCAAAGGATGTGCCCACGAGGAGGACCCCCCGACCCCTGCCAGCATCGGGGGTGGAGGCTCTGGGAACCAATCTCCTGCCTTCGAGTTGCATTCAATGCAGCGTGGAAGATCGAGCAAGAAGTGCACTGCGGTGTGTTTGCGTGTGCACGTGTCCACCAAAAACTAGCGCCAGACCCCCCCTCGCACACCGCCAGTGAGAGATCAGCAGCTAATTCAAATATCTAAGACATCGAGGGCAGCGACTGCTGTCAGTACCCTTAGCGGGACTGCTGCGGGGGGGGGGGGGGGGCAAGAACTGGGAGCCAAACTTTGCAGCAACTACCTGGGAAGAGGAGCTCAAAATTGGCTTCCTCAACCCCGTGATAAAAGGCAAGGCAGGGAGGTGAAATAACTGTTGTAAACATCCAGATCTAAGGGAAAATATATTTGATTTCGGGAAGGGAACCCCGCCCCCCACAGGCAAAGCACTGCCCTGACCCTGGCCATTCCGACCTACGAGTCACTGGGGCCGGCAGCGCGATGCTTGAGGGAAACCTCTTCTTGCAAGCGTCTCAGAATTAAGACTGGCACCCGTGGGGAGGCGCATCCCATCCTGGGGGGTTAAAGACCAGGGAGTGATTAGAGCAAGTGCGGAAGGGAACGCGACCGGAAGTTTCAGTTCCCCCGGAAAGCACTCTGGGCAGCGGCGGATGCTGCCCCGGCTGTGGCTGTCTGGACGTTCCGGTTGGAGAGGATGCCTTGCGAGAACTCCTCCTGGGCTCTCTGGAAGCTGGCCCCCGTCCGGCGATACAGGGAATGGACCTGGGGAAGAGGAGAGGCAGCGGCCGTCAGTGCCGCCAGAGCCCGGACCCCCACGGCCAGGAGAGAAGCCCCGCTCCTCGCTCCCTGCTCCAGCACATATGCTGGCGTGCGAGAACAACACCCAAAGCACCCAACTAGCTGGCCAAAGACGGTCAGCAGGCTGGCGATTATCTGGCCCTGGGCAACAGCGTTTACAACACTGAACAGCCACTTTTCAGAGGCGCTTCTAAGTCGCAGTAGTTCATAAAACGTTCAGAGAAAAGCTCATTCCACTGTCTGCCCTGGGTCGCCAGCAAACGCGAGGGGAAGGCTTGCTCCAGCCGCGGGGGAGAGAAAGCTCGGGCAGGCCAGGCCGAAATGCCCGGCGGTGCTGAGCCGGTCTGCAGAGCTTCGCCACAGAACTCACCTGCTTCAGCAGGAAGAGGGCGAGAACGGCGCAGATGGTGAAGAAGGCCGCCACCACCATCATGATAATGGCCACGGCCGGGTTCTTCCCTGTCTCCGAGAGCGCTGAAATCCAGCCGCTGGAAGAGAAAGGAGGATAAACGTCCGGGGTGGGGAGGGAAAAGGCCGCCCATGCAGAAAGCCAGGCTGTGCTGAAGCTGGGAAGCGAGCGCCACGGATCTCGTGTGTGGAAAGATCTGCCAGAAGGCCTATTTTAGCCTTCTCTAAACCAGCAGCCTCCACTTGGGTTGGACCACAACTCCCATGCTCCTCCATCAGCAACCTGCAGAGCATCATCCTGCTTCCCAGAGCTACCTCATTTTGCTGCCCTTGCTCAGCACCTGCTTTTCTGGGGCAAACTGCCCCAGCACATGGAGGATCTGCTCGGTAGGATGGCTAATACGCAGCCAGGAAGATAAAATCAAGGCGGGCAGGCTGGGCGGATGGCGCAGGGCTTTGGATGCTGCGTGGATTTTCCATCGGGAATCGTTATGCTTGGGAGTGAGTTGCATGTCGCAATTGGCAGTTTGGCTAAAACACCTTTCTAAAACAGTATTTTATTTGAATACAGCTCAGTTTAGTTCAGCTCCAATAAAAGAAACCAAGAAGTGAATTACATTCCCAAACTTATTCCTTAAGGCACAATCCTACAGATGTTTAGCCAGGGGAAAAAGAAATCGAACTCCTGCCAAAAGTGGAAGGACTTTGTCTAAACATGCAGAGGGTAACAGCATTACTTGGGCATTGTCTTCCTCTCCTTTAGACGAAGAAATGGCAGGATCTGGCCAATAGAGAAAATTAATTCACTGTTCAGGGTTGCATGCAGTTAAAAGCAAAAATGACCCTCTGAAATCAGACTAACTCAAAGAAAGAAAGGAGCTGCAGGCGAGAATCAAGAAGATGGCCAAAGACAGCTGGGACGCGGCAGAGTCCAGAGGTTTTTCTCCAGGTCATCTGCAAAAACAGGCTCCGCTCCCAGCGTGTCCCCTGAAACGGCCCCGATGCTACGATTGCCACGTGACTGGGCCTCTACATGGGGATGAAAACCACAATGTGTCTTTCTGGAAAGACTCTGGGCTCTGTTAGTCTCCAGCTGGGGTCAGCAGATCAATTTGGATACAGCAGAGCACGGGCTGGGACTCTGCCTTTCGGAAATCGGGCGGTTGATGTGTGTGACAGCTGGAGGAGACAAATGCAGAGCCTTGCCCGGCATCTCCCAAAGAGACAGAGACTTGTGTCTTTGCCTCGCCTGCTCCCTTTTACGGGGGTGAAAGTGATGCATCCCAGAGGGGAAGGGGAGACGTAACGAAGCCAAGGGGTCGTGGGGCAGAATCTTCCCACTCATTCCCCATCTCTGTTGCCTGGTTTTTCCCCTCATACCCAAATGGAACTCCTTCTGCTGGCGGACTCGTTCTGATGGATACTGAATGACGTCAACTTTACAACGTGCCAAAGGGAGAAAGAAAAGACAACCGTGGCAGGGGGAGGCCGTGGAGAAAATCAGGAGAGAGAGAGATGCACTAGAGAGCATGCAAGGGATGCCCAGGAGGAGGAGAGGATGCGTTAGGAAAGGTCAGAGGAGATACGTGCCTTTCAGGTGAAGGACTTAGAGCAGGAAACATGGAGTTAGAGGTGCTTCAGCTGGGACCTGTGGAAGCCACGGGCCAGGAGAGAAGAGAGAGACGCTTTAGCAAAGCACAACTACAGAAGCCGCAGAGGCCGGTGCATGCCTGCAGCAAGACGGCTCTTGCGGTCCAGCGCTCTTTTCCTGCGTGGACGGGAGCCATCGGGCTTACCTGGTCCCAATGTCAGGTATGCCGATCATCTGGATGATGTAGACAGCGATTTGGCAAAAAAATACGAAGAAGTACACAAAGAAACTGAAGGAGCTGTCAGACCTGCAGAGGGAGGGAGGGAGGGAGGGAGGGATTAATCCAGGTGTTCTCTCATACACACCAGAAAAATACATCTGGAGAGCCAAAAATCGTCCCCCTTGCACTAGATCGCGCATGGTATCCAGCGCTGTCAGAAGCTCTGTCGGCCCACGAGGGCTGTCCCTGCAGCAGCGCTCCCGACGGCTTGCATGCAGCTCTGCCTTTGTGATGTCCTCGGCTCGGCCAAGATGCCATCCTTCGGAATCACATGGGAGAGTTTTCCCTTCCTTCCAGAAGGGATTCCTCTCCCGGATGCTTCCAAAGCCCCTTTCTTTTCTATCTAGCACACAGGGGTATTCGCCAAGGCTGCGGGAACCTGCATAACAGCGCACCTCCCCGCGGCCCGGAGTCTTACTAGTAGAAGGATCGATCCTCGGAATTCTGCAAGTGGGTGCCGCCAGCTTTTTATTTATGTGGTTCTTTATTCGATTGCAATTGTATCCCCCCTCCCCCGGTAGCCATGAGGCTTGCAAATGATGCCCTGTTTGTGTCCACACACAAAGCTCCATCCGGCCACAGCTCAAGCAAGGAGAGAGCACGTATGCAGTCACACGACGGACTCCGGATGGTTTCACCTGCTCTTGCTTTGGTCAGGAACTGCAGCCAATGCGCCTTACCCAGCCCCATATTCGACTTGGTACAGGGAATTCAGGCCCAGTCCTTGGCCCAACTGTAAGTCTAACCTTTGGCAAGATCCTCTCGGGCCAGCTCTGTCCCCCTGATCTCAGTGCAGCTCTCTATAGCTGCTAACAGGCCCTTGAACAGCCAAAGAGCAGCATGCAAAGAAGCTAAAACTGATGCAGAGAGAGATTCTACGCTCAAAGGACAATGGCAGTCTGACAAGCAACTTCGTCTTCCTCTGACCCCCTTCTGAACTCAACCTCCCACCCCGAACAGGGGTCGTGTCACTTACTTGAAAGCCTTGTAAATTGGCCGATACCAGCAGAGGAATGCGCAGGGTGTGAACAAGGCAAACCACAGAATGGACAGGCCGAAATCTAGTCCGTGGCTGGAGTCTACTGTGAAGCAGGCCAGGCAGGCGAGCAGGTTGAGGAGCAGGGTAACTGAGTGAACTGTCCAAGATTTTTTGAAAAGAGACAGACAGGATTAGAAAACAACAAGAAGAACCCCTTGCAGAGCTGAGGTATTAATAAGCCTCCGTCACCGAACTATGGACACAAAGCAAGAGAAGGGAAAGGGGCCCCTCCGCAGTCTCGCAGTTATTTGCTTCAGCTGCCGCTGCGCAGAGAGGGAAGCTGATGCCGCCTCAAGTTGGCCCTCACGGGAGGTAAATAATGTCCTGCCGGGACTCGTCATTCCAGACTGAGGTATCAGTGCAGTCAAAACACCTGTTTAGTTTCTTTTGTGGTTAACCTATTTTAAGGTGCAATCCTATGCACATTTAGACAGAAAAAAGGGCTGAACTCCAGCAGGGATGGCCTGCCTTTGATTTTCCTGTACCCTCCCCGCCCCCCCGGTCCACCCCCAACTGAGATACTGTCAGAATTGAGGTGCCAGGAAATATGGAGACACTGCACTGATGCGAATCGACTTTGAAATTGAAATGAAAAAGTAATGAGTTGTACCGATGGACACCTTTTGTATTAAGCACAACATTGTCTGTGGGAATTCTTCTTCTTAGCTTTCTCCATTAGAGGAATAGCGGGTGGGGGTTGGCTGTGTGCCATTTTAATAACAATTACCTCCATGTACATTCATGCTTATTCAAAAGGCGCCTAATATCTGGGACCCTAAAAATTCATGATATTCAGTGGGGGTTCATACCACTGAAAAATGGGTTACATCTGCGCCGTACGTCATCAGAGTGGACTTTTATGAGAAAGGCTGAACTAGATGTACTGCTAACATTCCCATGTGCCGCAGGCTGTTCTGTGTGCCTTTAAAAATGAACCCCGGCCCCTAGAGATTCACTGGGGTTTGTGTTTCGGGAGTGGGAGGAAGCCAAGCTGGACCAGAATTATGGGACGGGGTTTTCACCCTGTCCCCACGGGACGGGCAGGCCTGCCCTAGAAAGGCAGGTGTGGATGAGATCAAGGCCAGCCTGGAAGCACATCACGCCTGGGCGCTGGAGGCTCTTCCAAGTGCTGCAACCAGTGCAGAACTGAAAGGCTGGCACAAGCACCGCGCTCTCTCCCGGGGAGCGTTTCTCAAGCCGCAGCTGGCGTGCCGCACTCACACATCCACAGGTAATACAGCATCTTGCAGGTTCGCCGATAGTCAGCTGGGATGTCTACGGAGAAGTCCTGATAGAAACAAGGCTTGATCGGACAGCCCTTTGGAAGCGGAGGCCAGTTATCTTGTCTCGCTGGAAGGAGAAAAGGAGGAGAGGTTTCCAGAAGGGTTCCCCCAATTTCTTCTCTATATTTAAGGCCCACGTGGTCTGGGGTGGGGAGGAGACAGGAACTGTGTGACAAAGCGCTCAGAGAAGTGGAAGCCCAGTACCCAAAACCCAAGACTCAGATTCACGCGGATTCTGGAAGCTTTCAGAAAAAAGGGATTGCGGGATTTTAAAACTAGCGCGAGCCTCTGAGACCCACGGACCTTCCAAATGGAAGCTACCTTGGATTTAATTCATGTATCGATAATTAAAGGATGCTGCAGAGTATTTCAAAAAGGGGACGGCCCGGCCGCCACTCACGGATGAAGCCTGCTGCGCTGTTCTGAAGCTCGCGCTCCTTTCGATCCAACTCGGCCGCTTTCCTTTCCAGTTCCTCCTGCTGCTGAAGGAGCTCAGCTTGTGCTGCCGAGGCGACAGACTGTGAGGGAGAAAGAACAGTGGCGGGAGGCCGGAGAGCAAAGCAGTGCGGATTCGTTGCTCAGTGCAAAGGCGGCGCAGGGCTCTAAAAACAGGAAAAGGACTAATCGTGTGATCCCAGATTGGCCTGCTAAGGAGGATGTTCCATGGAGCGCAATGGGACTTGCTCTCACAAGTGGACACAACTGCAGCCCAGGCAAACAAAACAAAACAAAACAAAAACAAAACAAAACAAAACAAAAGCCAAGTTCTCCCTTTGTTAGGTTCTTCTGGTTACTTGTCCTAAGGAAATTGTTGAAAAATGTCAAACGTCAGAAGATAACCAACATCTTTGAAGAAAAAATAAGGGCTGGGGAGGGAAACAAGCTACATCCTCCATAAACACAGAAAGGAAATTGAAGGCTGGACTCTGGAGCACATAAATATAAGAACAGCCACCTCTCTCATTTTGAGAAGAGATGAAATTTGGGGGAGGCAGCGATCCCCTCTCACTGCTATCCGGAAAGAAATGCTGTACAATCCCTCAACTTTCTGCTGGTGCCCTACCCCTCCCTCCTGTTACCTGGTGGTTACTCTGAGAGATGTTGTCTTCTCCTAGCAACCTCTGCCTCTCTGAGCCTTCTGAGCTTGCTGAGATGAACTTAGGAGTCAGGTACTTGCTGGCCTGTCTAAGCAGCAACTGCAACACACAACTATGCTGTGTCTAAGCTCACAGGATCGGGCTCTCCTGATTGCTTGCCAGAGCTAAGTTACTAACACTTCAAATGAACTGGGTAGGTGATGCACAGAAAAGGCAGGGATGGGTTTGAGTCAAGAGAAGAGGAAGACACACACACACACACACACACACACACACACACAAATATCTCACACATTGACCTTGGAGGCCTCTCTTATTCACATGCACTTTTGAAGACACAAGACAGTTTAATTGCTCTTTTAACTATGTCTCAATAGGAATCAAGGCAGTCAGCGACAAAGCCAAACTGCATGTCAGGCATCTTTCCCACAGTGTATCTTTGTCAGGAACTTGTACTCGTTCGTGGCTTTGGGGAAGGGTTGCGGCTCAGAAGAAGATGCAGCGCTCTGCATGCGGAAGGCCCCAGTTCAATCCCTGGCATCTCCAGGAAGGGTTGGGAGGGAATCCTGCCCGAAGCTTGCGAGAGCCACTGCTGTCAGTCAGCGCTGGCAAGACTGGGCTGGGAAGACCCACAAGCTAAGCCAGTTTCCAAAGTTCCTAGAATGTCACAGGCTGTCCTGAGCTAAATTGGATCCTGGGTCACAGGTTGCTTATCTGCGAAGCACAGCTCCTCCAATCTTAGCAAATCGGTGGGGGGGATCCAGATTAAAGGTAACCGTAGAATACCTTTCCCGGTTATCTGCAGATAGAAGGCCTAAGCCCCACAACACTAACCAGTATTTAAGGGCAATCCTACTTGCCCGGATTCTACAGCCTGAGCTTTATGGAAAAACACAGAGTGCTCTGTCGTGAGCTGTGCAGAGAGCCCGGAGGTGGGCCACTGTAGCAGCATGCAAATCGAAGTAACGATAAACACTAAATAATTAAGAGAAGCACGGGAGAGTGCAGTACCTGGGGAGTGGGTTCCACGGAGGGCTGCAACACCGCAGGCTGGGAAGGCCCCGTGGGCTGGGTTGCTGGAATCGTCTGAGCGGCATTCATCTAGGCGAGAGAAGCGCAGCATTAGACCCCTGCAAAAGGCACCTCGGAACAGCCTCTTGCCCCGCCGTGGCTGAAGCAGCGCTTGGAGGTCCCCCAAGCAGAAGGGCAGACCCTGGACACCAGAAATACCAGCAGGTGCCCATCCGATCATGCAGGGTTTCTTTAATGTTGGAGGTCAGAGACGCTTCTCGTGCTGAAATTTGGAAAATGGCGCCTCCAGGCAAACCGGGAACAATCCATTTTTCTGTAGTCAAAGTGAACTGACGACTGGAGTGAGGGAAGAGGCCCCAGGGCAGCGCTCACACTGCCACGCTTTATTCTGAGCCCTACTCACAAACAGCGCTGAGAAAAAGCAAATTATTTCTCCTTGCTTGTTTCTCAACTAGTGATGAGCGTCCACGTAACCGCAGCCAACCAGCTGCCCGATCAAGCAAGCAGTCCTTGTCCCGTCAGGCTCTTTTCTGAAAGAGGAGGAAGCCCTGGTATTTCGTTCTGCATTGTTGCTGTGTCTGCTTTTTATGCTTCGATTGCACTGCCCAGGGTCGACTATCTGGAGCTGCAGGAAGCACCGCCGTGGCTCAATACAGGATTGCTGCTCACTTCAGAACCACCTCAGACAATGCTTGTCCTTTGGACAGACTCAAACATCCCCTTCCCGGGGCGCAGCTTCTTCAGGCCTGGCCTATGCACACCTCCTTCGCACCGACGGCGAGCGCGCAACACGCCGCATGCTCAGCCACCCCAGTGCCGGCGCAGCCTGCTGTGGAGCGAGCCGGCATACCTGGCAAGCAGCAGCTTCCTGAGATGCTCCCTTTCCCAACAGGAGCAATCCTTGCAGGCTGGCCGATTGCCCACCTGCCCTGTGCTGTCTCATGGCCTCGGGTTCGTGCTCAGCCTATCATCTCTCGGCAGAGCAGACTGCGAGAGCCGAAGCTGGCTTTGCTAAGCTGGAAAACCTGCTTTTTTCCCTCCTGGCAGCTCGGGCTGGCTCCCCCCCTGCCCCCCCACACACAATAAAGCAAGATCAGCTCTGGGTGCCTAAGGTCTAGCTTTCACCAAGACGGACACAGGTGGAGGTGGCTGGGAGGCTTCACCTACGAAGATTTACCCTGAAGCCAACAGGGCTCGAAAAAGGCCACTTTCCCAAGAAATGTCCATTTATGTTTTTCCGGCACAGAAGCAGCTGAGAATATTAAACATCGATCTGGCTCACACACACTGCTTCCTCCCGCCCTTTCAGAAAAGATTCTGACTCCACCTTCGGGGTGGCTTGTGCCGCTTCGGGGCTGGATGGGATGGGCCAGGGGGGAGATATTGGACATCTGGTTAATGGGTCCAGTTGCTTCGATTGTTTCCTGACACCCCCGAGGGAACACCCCTCCATCGCCTCTCCCCTGCGACTCCGGGCTGCCTCCTTTCCCAAGGTCCCCACACTCTGCCCAAGAATCCTCACTAGGTCACCTCGACACTGCAGGTTCTCTGCTCAGCTCCGGACCAGCTCTCCACCTCCTCTTCAGAAGCAGGTGACTCTACCTGAGCAGGCTGTGATGTGCAAGAGCCTGCCCCCCCCCCAACGATTCTGGTGGACGAAACCCTGGAGCATTAGAACAACCTGCACGTAGGGGGTTCACCTAATTTGCTGCATTCCTGTTATGCCCTCGGCTGGGTTAAAAGAGCAGCAGCAACTGGTGCTCCCTTGCAAGAGGGCGACTTTCCCACTAGACGCTCCGACACAAGAGTGCCCGTTTCCCCTTGATGACGCACCAGCAAGGCCTCTCCGGCACGGACAGCGCAGAAGTGCAGCAGGGGGCTGGTTCTGCAAAGGGAGATGGCGCTGCCACGGCTCCCAGGCCCCCCAGCCCTGGGCAGCCCTACCTGCCACGCGAGCGGGAGCAGCCCTGAGGCAGAACACGCCAACGTGAGCCCCTGTCCAATGCGGCACTTACCATCTGCGAGCTCGCAGAGAAGGGGTTGTATTCATTGAGGCCACCACGGTTAGCGTTTGTCAACTGCGTAACTGAAGGGTCCTGAGAGGGGAGAGAAAATAATAGTGAGCAAAACCAAGTTTGGAACATCGCCAACTCTGGGCCAGCACTGAGGCAGTTCAGCTCCTTTTGTCAGAACTGGCCACCAGCTCTTGCTCCTGGAGGGGATCCCCGCCCTCTCCCACCCCGAGCACATGACGACAATCCCCCCATGTCTGCCCGACGTGGCAGGAAGACCCCACCTCCATACGCCGCCTTAAACCGAACAAAGCAACAACAGTTCTTTGTATGGTGCCAACAGTGTATACTGTATTTTAAAGGAGTCACCTGGGCAACATATAGACTCCTGCCCCACGGAGCTTACAATCTAGGGCAAAAGCACATGGCCAAATGCTGTGGCACCTGCCCAAAGGCTTGGCTGCAGTAGGGCGGCCCTCCCCAGTCTGGTACCATCCTGATGGCCCGGGCTAAAACTTCCACCAGTGGCCATGCTGACTGGGGCTGATGGGAACTAAAGCCCAAACACTGGGAAATTTGAGAAATGCTCCTGGGCGTGACTGTAAATTGGCCGCAATAGGTGGGCAGTCACGACAGAGAAGTGATCTGCCAGGGGGACTGTGGGAAACTAAGATGGCGGCGGCCGCAGGAAGAGGCTCCCGCTTGACTTTGGAGCACGACTGCCAGGAAATAAAAACTGGGCGGGGTGGAGTGTCTTGCCGGGTCCCGGGCCCCGTGTGGCCCGCCCAGCTGTCCGCACTGGAGCGGCAGCACAGGGGACCTCCGAGGACTCTTCCGAGGACTCTCCTGCGGAGCTGAAGGCCCTGCCGCAGCCTGCGGTGCTGACTTTGCCACTCAAGACGTGGCCCGGCTGCAAAGTCCCAAGTTCACTGGGAGACTCTCTCATGCTCAGCTGCTTCTTTTACAACAGGGGACATAAACCAGAAACGTGTCATGAAAGAAGTGCCAAGGAAGCCACTTATCTGATTCGGCTACTTGGACAAGCCAGCAAACGCAACAGTTCAAGCCGGACGGACGGGTGAGAAGCCGAGCAGGAGCGCGGTGCTGCCATCGTCACCCCTGGGCACCAGGAGCCCACCAGTGCGGGTCACCCCTGCTGCCATCCCAGCTTTCTTGTGCGCACCAGGCTCCTGTTTAATGAATAACTCCAGGCAAACACCCTGCATTCTGACACTCCCTGCCTAAGCATCCCGTTGCGCAACGGCCTGAATCACACCAGGAAGGGAGAAAGGGAGAACAGGTGAACGTCGCAGGTAAGAGTCTGAAGCCAGCCCCACCCTCTACGAAGTGAGGCGGTGTGCCCATCTGCCACACCGGGACCTGCTTCCAGAACGCAGAGACAGGGCTGCGTTGCAGGTTCGTGCCACCTCGGAGGAGCACATGCAGAATCTCCAGAAATAAAACTAAGGTCCTCAGCACGTGGGCAGGAGCTGCGACTGCAACAGTGGGGACACTACAAATTCCGAGGGTTCCTCTGGGGCCAGACAGACTCCAGGAAATTCAAGATTTTCTTAAGGACAGTAGGAACAACTTGCTGTGGCCCTCCAGCTGTCCTACGACACCTATCATCCCTCACCATTGGCTGGGTTCTCTAGAAGGAATGGAACTGTAGGCTGGAGGGCTACAAATTGCCCCCCCCCCCCCCCCCAGAAAGTCAGTCAGGCACAGCATGAGGCAGACAGGATGTTTAGCTGGGGGAGTGTCGGGAAACATTATGAAGATGCAACCGCTTGTTTCCTGTTGCATAATGAAAGCTCATTCTGCCTTGGGGCCAAGCTGCAGAGTTGAAGCTGCCTTCAACAGCTTAGCTTTGCACATCTTGTCTTCTGCAACATGCAAGAAACTGCCCTGCGCTGCCCTTCCTGGTCCACTCAACCCAGCTCGGTCTCGTCAGACTTGCCTGCCCCTGCCTGAAGTAGCCAGACGCTGCCCCTGCCATGCAAAACTGGTACTCCGGCCTGGAACGCGGAGCCCTCGTTTGCGTCTTCTGATGGTGAGGAGCGTCCTGAACACCCCAAGTCCTCCCCTTAAGTGTCCTCGTTATCACCCCTCCGGATGTTCGTGCACTTGCCATGCTAGCAAGAGGCTCGTGATACAGGGCTGGACAGATAACGCATCTCCCTCGATCGTGCAGGGTTTTGGTAAGCTCATGATGTGCACTCCTGTCGAGAGGATATACCGCCGGCTCGCGTTCTGTCTCAGTAAGCATTCTCAGGACTGTGACTTCTTGTGGAAGGTTCATGGAATTCTGAACAACACTGAAACAAGTATTCTTACACAGTTTTGAAGCAGGCAGAAGACACGGGAAGCTACCTTACGCTGAACCCGGCTCCGGCTCCACTGTCTAGCAGCTATTCCTCAGGGAGGACCTCTTCCCGGCCCCATCCTGAGAAGTCAGGGATTAAACTTGGACCTTCTGTGCACACAGCAAGAGTCCCACCGCTAAGCTCCAGCATTCCTCACCGATAAAAGACATTTACCATACCGGATACTCTAATGGCCTGCCTCGGACATCACTGCCTTCAATGAGGCTTAATCCCCAACAAGTACGGCTGGGATCACAGCCTAAACCCACACCTTTTTAAAAACAAATGCAGAAAACATATGCCCAAGTATTTATTTATTTAGTATTGGGGAGGAAGGATGTAAGCTGATGAAAGGGACTATTCTTGATAGATTTTGGTATATATCCACTTTAGAAAGTGGATTAAAGTTTAATAAGACTCCACATATTTAAAGATGCGAGCCAGATGCAGTCCATAATAGCTTTTCCCCTCCAACAATAGACTTTGCTCTTGGAGTCATCCATGAATATCAAAAGCCTATAAAATAGGAGTAATGGACAGCACGAAAGCCAAAGGAATGAAAATAACCTGTTAAGGTTCAGTCTTAAGAGGTTTTTCAAAACCAGGAAATGCAATGGATTGCATAAACAGCTTTAAGGACAGTACTGTGCATATTTAGACAGAAAAAAGTCATACCTAACCAAAATAGTACTCTAAAATTGTAATAACACCCACTATATTATAACGTGCAGCCTGAACACTTACAATTCAAAAGCATAATCACCCACTCCTTTAATTTTACCTAACCCACCTAATTTAAACCCAACAACGATCAAAAAATCAGACTTACCCAATCTCAAGGCACAAAGTGAACACTACACTGTAAATTCGCTTAAGAATTATATCATTTATTGGCCTATTATACAGCCTGCATGTCCTTAAAAATAAACAAATTCAGAGTTTTGTGACCAATTCACTTGAGAAAGTATTTCCCAGGTATGAATTGGCTGCTACTTCTAGATTGATGTTTTGTGATTAGAGATTGCTGTATTTTGATGAACAGTTTTGTATGAATCCATTTTCTACCGAGTTATATTAACACTGATGTGTTTTCAGGGTGGCCTGATGGAATGGCCCGTGTTTGTCAGCACAGATTTTCTATGGTGATTTGCAGGCTGTGCCCTGACTGTTGAGATGTTTACCTTTTTCAAAAAACATAGATCGCTCTGAGCAGGACGTGTACGGAAGGATGACACCGAACCAAACCGACAATGACACCACTTATGACAAAGCATACAACTAAGCAGGACAAGAAGTCACACCGCTGAGGACTTGCAGACAAGCCCTGGATCTGAACAGACAATCTCGCTTTTAAGCAAACTTGACCTCACTTGATCCCAAAATAGGGGGGCCGCCAATTTGTTTCTTAGGATTGCTCTCCTGGGACTGATATGTGGGAGAGATTTGAAAACCTTCTGCACAACAAAAAGCTGAGCATGTCCATATGGATAAAGGAACCCAGGGCCCCTACCTCAAGGGACACTTTAGCTTTATTAGCACTGCGATGCCCATCTCTAAGTATTTCCAACATGGCACTGACTTTTAATCTGCAAGTGAGGAAGCGAGAGGCAGCCTTGCTGAACAGCGCTGCCAAAGCGCCAGCACAGAGCGAGGAGGAAAGAAACGATGAAAAATATCTTCTGAGAGCTAGAACAAAGAGCTCTGCATTATTATTGGCATTGCTGAAGTTTTGGATCCTTGTTTTAAAGGATCTGTGAATTTAATCAGTCGTTCGTGACCAAGTTTGCTTTAGATTGGAGTTTATCACTCCGACTTCCTGAACATCTTGCAGCTTGGAACAGGAGGCTGTATACCAAAGATAGTCTTGCCACAATGCCTTTAGATCATCCTATTATGAGCCGGAGACCCCAAGCACAATGGCATTTGGTCCATTAGCACACGGCCTTCCACACCCACACCCATCACCAAGATTAAAAGTCTAGTTCCCAAGGCTGCTGCCAACTCCTTTGACAAACAAAGACATGCTTCAGAAGCTGCACAGAACTGCCAAAAGCAGTTTTGTTGAAATCCAAATGCATTTTTCTCGCATGCTCGGTCATTTCATCAACTTAAGTCCAACTCCGACGTTTTCACGTGGGCAAAGAAGAGCACCGTAGGAGCAGCATAGTCACCGAGGCCGGATGACTCTGGAGATCGTTTGGCCCCAGAGGGACCGCCACCTGACACAGCTAAAACGGCCGTCTCACCCCAGGACTTGCCACGTTTGAGTTTCAACAGCTTCCTCTCTCTACCGACTGATAAATGTGGCCGAGAGAGGAGGACAATTACTTCCTTACAAAGGGCTGCACACAGTTGTGCATTGTACAGGCGGAGAAAATGTGTTTGGGGCTGCATCTGCACATTCCTTCAGCAGTGTGGGCTCCTTTTCAAAAAAGATACAACCACACAGAGACGGCTCCACTCAGCAAACTCTCCAAGGTTTTGTCTGTCTGCTCTCTTTTTACCTTGGGGCCCCTCTTTAAACTGCTATACTAAAAATAGCTGGAATTACAAGAGCTGTTCCTGTGAAGAGTCTTCGAAGCAGCTGATCAGAACTCATGTGAAGTGTGAATTGGGTTTTTGAAAAAAGAATGCTATGCGTGTTTCTGACAGGCTGCAGCAGTTTTCTGAAAATGTAGTGCTCCCCACCCCATTTTCTTAATCTGTGTGGAGTGCAAGCATTTCCTCACTTCAGCACAAGCTCCAAGAATCACTCCTCCATGTCATGGCAGTGTAAAGTCCCATGCATGCATTCTTGGGCGTTCACGGCCCTAAATTCAGTGGGATTTAATGCTGAGTGCAAAGGCATTGGGTCAGCCTCCAGACTGAATCCATTTATGATGCACTTAATTTAGGACTGCTATGATTTATGGCTCAGTCATAAATGGTGATATTGATATATTCTAGGAATGAACCCTGTAGCTGCAGATACATTCCAGAGAAGCCTTCCAGACATGTTTGGACTGCAACACCCAGAATCCCCAGTCAATGGCCCTGCTGGATGGGAATCTGGGGAGCTGCGGCCCAAATGCCTCCGAGGGCCACTAGGTTGGGGAAGGCTGTTCTAGAGAATTACATTCCAGCGTGGCAAGTTACGCCCTCATTATGTCCCCTGAAACCCAGACTGACTGGGCAGAGGGAAGAGGGCAGTTGTGTGCTGCCGGGCCCTCCTCAGAAGTCAGTTCAGTCTTCTGAGGTCAGTTCAGTCCTTTTGTTCAGTCTGGCCTCCTCCATAGCAGAGGTGCTTCAGACTGAACCCCCCACATCAGAAGAGAACCTGAGCTGCATTATAAACTTCTGTTCTGGGCACCCCTCTTCATTCTGCTCATCTTTTACAAAGCTGGGTGTGGAGAGCTGCTCTCAGGGAGAGTGCACAGGACACAGTAGCTATGGCGGGGTGGCACACTAATAGAAAAGTAGGAAGGCATATGTAAGTCATGATATATAATCCAAGTAGGTTGCAGTTTCCCAAGGCGACCGCTAGGCATTGCCAATGGTAGAAACAGCAGTGCGGCCTACTCAACAACCAGAAATGGTGCACGATGTAATAAAAGCCTGGATACATATGTGATTTATTAATTGTAAACATGCCTAAAAGATGCTAGAGTGTGTCTATAAATATTCAGAATTCTTGCTTGCAGATGCAGTCAACATAAAAGGTAGCAAACAAACGGATGGGTTACTAATGGTGTGCATGGGGCTCTGCCCCTTGAAGAGCTAACTCAGTGCACTATCAAAACCTTGGTGTCAGTTTACAAAAGCTCCTCAGGGAGGGAACCCACCCTGACTCCAGAGCTGCACCCCTGCTTCTCAGACCATCCTATTATGAGCAGGATTAACAAACAGAATTGCAACAGGAGTAAACTGGCTGGTACAAGCTGAAAGGGTGAAGAAAATGGATACAAAAAATGGTCAGAGTACAAGGACTATCACTCCCTTTTCCCCATCAGGAAGTAAAAACAGCCTTTCTGCATAAATAAAACCACAGTTCCTTCTGCCAACCACTTGGAAAATTTATTTTCCACGGCAGACTTTGAAGCACGGACATGCAGTGGAGGTATCAGGTGACCGCTGCCTCTCACCCCTAAACTATCCCTGTGTATACAAAGAACCAGGAAATCAGTCATCTGGATCTTGCTTGAGGCAAATCTACATTGTTGTAAATATTAAATATAAGCATTTTCATTCTACCTTGTGGAAGCAAAATAATGGCATATTTTCTTGTTTATTCTTACAACCAATCCACAAAGGAGGCTAAGCTGAGAAAGAGATGTTGATCCATGTAAGTATCACGATGGTGCAGATGGAAATTCAAGTCAAACAATCCAGACAATATTTACACTACATTGGCTTTGGGAAAAACACGGCACATAGAATACCAAGCTACAGAATCAGTTATGTTCATAGGAAGGCGATTCTGAAACATCAGTAATCTGAACAAACTGATCTTGGGTGCGTGTTTATAAGTTGAAAAAAGTATTAAAATTCCCAATATTCCCCAGCCAGCATTGCTAAGAGTTGCAGAACTCTCTTCCTGTCTAAGCATGCATGTCAGAGCAGCCTTTCAAGACAGACTTTCCAAAATGTTGATTCTCTTGTCGGATAGCTGATGACAAACCCTGAAAAAGCATGAGTGATCTGTACTAGTGAGAACTGCAGCGCCTAACAGGTGTTGTTTTTTTAAATAAAAGGGCAAAAGAAAGTAATTTCAAATGTGTTTCAAAGCTGGTAAAATGTACCACTAAAGAGAAAAATAAAGTCCCGAAGGGATGAACTTGGTGGAATGCAGGATTCCATTCAAAGGAGTACCTGAATTTTGCAAGCACTTGCAATTAAGAAAAGGGCATGGGCGGAACAGATAGTGTTGAAAATATGCAGTGAAGAATCACAGAAAAGAATATAAGAGCAAAGTATATTAGATCTTGAAGGTGGACGCCACAGCCCAGTACCAAAGGTTACACAGCATGCCAGTGAGAAGAGATGAAAATGTTTTAACAGTGGCTCTGCCACAGCTGCTTAACAAAACCGTCCCATTCAGGTTGTTTGAAAGATCACATCCCACCCCAACTTAAGGATCTGCAAATCCCGTTTTAGGCCAGATCAGAAGCCTCCTATGTCACTTCACATCCTGCACAATTACTTTCCCCTCTTCACTCCTGCAGTTTAATTATTACTATGATCTCAGCATTCATGTGCCATGCACTGTACACACTAGCCTCTGTTCCAGGTGACTTAGTACGGACTGTACAAACAAGCCAAAACAAAGTCAGAAGTTAGGGGTTCTCCCTCTCTTCCTCCTTCACACAATTGCCTTTTAGTGCATTTCTGTCCCAGCCTTCCCTAGTCTGGGTACATCGAGCCTGAGCATGGCATTCGGGCAAGCGCACCATGCCGGGGGCGGAGGCAAAATCACGTACAGCAACCAAGGCCACTTCTGCAGGGTAAAAGGTAAACTTCTGCCTGGGAGGCAGCCTCCCAAACCAGTGCTGGGAGTTACTTCTGAGGAAGGATGGCCAGGGCTGGCTCCAAAGCCGCTCCCCGCCCTCCTCCTGCTTTCTGGTCCGGCAACCTGGAGAGCCGGTTCGGCTGAGGGCAGCAGCTGCCCCAGGCCAGCCCTGCAGAGCTCCCTCCCGCTCCGCCGTGCGGCCCAACGGCCGGCCTGGCCCTTCGCTCTCCTGGCCTTCCCCAAAGGGGCGTTGTGCAAGGCACCTGCCGCACGCCGCTTGGGCTCCCCGCAGAAAAGCCTGCGCTTCGGCTGCCGCTGCTCCGCCCCATGGACGCCCGCCCCGCAGGCTCGCCTGCCCTCCGGCCCCTCCCGCCAGCCCGGCCTCGGCCGCCCCTTCCCCCCTGGCCTTCCAGCCCGGGGCAGCTGCTGGGACCGACCGAGAAGCCACCTCGGCAGAGGGCAAGAGCGGCCCGCGCGGAGGGGGCGGGAGGCGCGCCCCTCGCCGCCTCACTTCGCCGGGCTCGCCGCACCTCGCACGCCCCTGCGGCCCCCGCTGCCTCCGCACCCGCGGCCCGGGCCCGGACGGGACCCCCCCCCCCAGCCCAGCCCAGCCCAGCCAGGACGCGGCCTGCCGTCCGCCTCGGGCGGCTGCGGGCCCCGCCCCGCCCCACCTGGAAGGGGTTCACGTCCACCGGGTCCGCGAAGGGGTTCGCGTCGAAGGCCGACATGGCCGCCCGCCTCGCGCGGCCCGAGCTCCGCGCCGCCGATCCCGACCCGGCCCGCTTCCTGCTCCCTGGAAACCGCACGCGCGGACTTCCGGGAGGACGCAGCCCGACTGCCGTGACGCGCCGCGCTCCGTCGCCACGTGACAAAGGAGACGCACCGCCCCTTTTGACCTCGGCCGCGCAGGAGGAGGACGGGGGAGCCGGGCGCCGTGCGCATGTGCAGCTGGCCGGGCGAGAAGAGGAACGCGAATGAGAACAGCGGAGAGTTGACGCCTGTGGGGCATGCGCACTGAGCCACAGCCAACCTCATTACCGTAGTGCGCTATGTAGTGCGCGACCCCATGTCTGTTCGCTAGGTAAGTGCGGATGGGGCAGTGGCTGTAATTATTTGTACAGTGCTTCGTACCAGCGATGAGAGGAGACAACGGAAGGTAGAGAACTCTTCCATTTTAAGGCATCTCTGTGGTAGAGAACACTACTTTTCAATTTAAATATCACGTTTCGTTTTTATACCACCCAATAGATGGTTTACTAAAAATATAACCCTAAAATGAAAGCAGGGTATTTAAAATCTTAACATACAACATTTAAAAACAGCTTTTGCAGGAAGGTACTGGGATCTGATAAAACAACTGCTACTGAAAGCCCCATTGTGTGCTGTGAATAGTCAGGGATTATGGCAAAGGCTTAGCTTGATGTCGGCGGAACGACAGGCACCGGGCGGACCTCTGTGCGAGAGCAGCTAAGCACCAGGACGGCCCCTCTTGCTGCCCCTCGGATCTTCCAGGTATTTATTACAGCTCAGGTGTACGCATAAATCATAACTGCAATTGTTTAAATAGTTTATATCCGACATTTCTGTCCCACCTTTTAAGGTGGTGCTGGGCAGAATCAATCTACATCAAAGCATGACTAAAATACAATAGAATTATCAGATCTATATACTGCATTTCCATCTAATGCGGCATACCTCATTCTCATACTCTAACACAGGTAAGAAAAAGCAGCATTAGCATCACAACAGGTAATATCCAAAGAAAACACCCATAATTACAACCTGCCCACAACTTTCTTGAGCTGGTTATCACCTGAAACCAAACATCTATTAAAGATACTAGGGAAACATGGGGGGGGGGGGCATTCCAAAATCAGGAGACCACCATTGGGAAACGATTCATCCCCGGTAGCTGCCCAATGGACTGCTGAAAGAGAGGCCAAATGTGGATTCACCTTGGCACTTCCTGACACCAGAAGCCAAAATGGCTAATACGATTATCTCACAGAACTTATTTCTAATTAAACATGCCCATGATTAGTCTGGCAGCCAGAATAACAGCAATATCATGATTCATTGGCCAGTACACGCAAATCACGGGACGTCGCTCCTCCTGTTGGACCATCCTGCCCTTCAGACGGGTGGGGGCCCATCCCCTGGAGAGCGCTGAGCAAACTCAGCGAGAACACCCATTCGTTGCGGCTTCCTTGATGGTGCGGAGCCTAAATCTCAGTCCAGTTGCCAGCATATATATTCATGCAGAGCTGCCCAGTATGAACACATATAACTGATGCAGAGCTGCCCAGTATGAACACGTATAACTGATGCAGAGCTGCCCAGTATGAACACGTATAGTTGATGCAGAGCTGATACATAGTTATATATACATATACATACATATACATACACATATATATATATATAGAGAGAGAGTTTCTCACACACACACACACACACACACAGAGAGAGAGAGAGAGAGAGTGGATGCAGGCACAGCGCCCACGCGTGCGGCGGCTCATGGCAGCGAGCGGGGCGGCCCGGGGGTGGGGGGGGCGCCGACTGGGGCCGAGCCGGGCCTGACCGGCTGCCGCCGCTGCGCCGCGCAGGGACGCCAGAGCGGAGCGAGGCAGCGCCTTTCCCGCCGGGCGCCGGGGACGCGGAAGGGGCGTGTCGGAGCGGCGGCGAGCGAGCGAGGCCGGGCGTCGGCGGCAGGATGGCGGAGCTGCGCGGTGAGTGAGTGCGGGCGGGCGGGCCGGGGGGGCTCCGGCGGGACATCGCTGGATCGGGGCCCTGCGCGCGGCACGGGCACCCCCCGTGGCAGAGCTGCCCCCGCTGGCGCGACCTCGGGCCCCGCTCGGAGGGCAGGTGGGAGCCCGCGGCCCTTGCGGGGGCCGGGAGCCTCTGCCTGCCTGCCGCGCGGCCCGGCCCCGGCCCCGGCCCCGGCCCCGCCGCTGGCGCGCACGGCTCCGCCGAGGAGGCGAGGCCAGCGGAGCAGAGCCGGCCGGGCCGGCGGCGAGGGATGCTTGGCTCCGCGGGTCTGTGCGTGCGCGTGTGCACGGGCGCGTTTCCGTGTGCGTGCCCGAATGGGCCCTTTCCGCTGCTGGCTCATCGCAAGGCGGACTCCGGGCCACTGTGTATGCAAGGATGGCCGCTCGGAAGGCAGGGAGGAAGGCATGTCCTACATCGGAAAAGCACGGCCTTTCTGATCCGCGTGTGGCGGCCGTGCCCGGGCGCCGGGGATCCCAGGCTGATGCCCAGGCGCTGCCGGTCATGGCTGGCAGCTTCCAGGCCCCTGCTGGCCCTCCTTTTCCCAGTTCTTTATCTAAGCAGATTTCAGCCGGAGGGTCGTGCAAACAGAGGCCACCTTCCAGAAGAGGACTGGCCCTTGTAAAGTTACTTGGGGACACCTCCTGTAGGTTTTAGCAGCTAGTCTTTGGAAGGGGTTCCAGCAGAGATGCGAAAATCAGGACACAGTGCTGGCTGGAGAGCAGTTGTAGGGTTGTCTTCTGTGTAAACATGCAGTGCATTGTGCCCCCTTTAAGCTGCAAGGACATTTGCCCTTCTTTGCAACGGGTCAACACGGAAGGTGGTTGGCGGTCCGTGCGGCAAGGAGGGGCTTTACGCAGCCCTGATTCTGTACATCCGTGGATGTGCAACGAGCGTTTGCGTATTGTTGGCCCCTGGCACCACGCAGGCGAGTGCTCCAGGTGGTGGCACACCAACCTGCTTGTACCCTCAAGGGGACAGATGTTCCTCTTGCAGTCCTAGGTGCTGGCCAGCGGATCCTGGAGGTTGTAGGACTTTCTTTGCTCTAAGAGTGCATACGGTTGCGCCCTGAGGCATTTTAGCAACCCTAAAGACTGTGTACAGCGAGCTGATGCTGTGGGAATAGCCCAGTTTGCCTGCTGTGGTATTTTCGGCGCGCATCTCTAGCGATCTGCAGGAAACGGGTGCAGTCGAAGCACCTCGCTTGCGACGCAAGGATGCTTAGGATGGAACAAAACCACCGGCATTCAAGATGACATGCAGGGGTGAAATAGCGCCACAGGAGAGACACAAGCAAAAGTTGGCGAGCTGTGTGTCAATTCCTTTCCCCAGGCTGAGAAAAAAGGCAGCACCTGTTGCCATGGATATTATGAAGTTCTCTCTCTCTGCTGAAGCTTTTCGGGACACAGACCCTGAGGCACTTCCTGGGAGAGCGGGGAGGGACCAAGCTGCTTCAGTGAAGCAAAGCTTCGTTCTCACAGCAAAAGCAACTCTTGCCTACAGAATGACTGGGGCGAGCCATGCTAAAGAACCGCTCGCTGCTGGTGCTCTTCGTAACAAGCTGAAGGCCCTCAGGCCTCAGCATCACACCCCAAAAAACTATTCTGGCCTTTGACACTAGGGAGCGTTATCACACGATCTGTTAAACTGTCATAACTTCCTAAGCGTTGTTTTGGTGGAACCCTTCAACCAACGGCAGCATGCATTTGTGCTTGCGCATTAACTTATAAAATGCAAAGTTTTCTGCTGAACCACTGGGAAATTTGGGGGGAGTAAATTTTCCTCTCCACATAGCTGCTCCCTGCTTGGACGTGGCTTCGGCTACCTTGGTCTGGCTGGACGGCCCATGGTGGGAGCGCCAGGACTTATTTCTGTCTGAGCACGCCGTGGGATCGCTCCCCTCGTTGCTTTTCTCTGCCAAAATCTCTTCTTCAGCCCAACTGTTAAAACATTTGGAGATTCTCTGAGCACCTGCACCAAAGATTTGTGGACATTTCCCCTGTCTAAATGTGGTCAGGATTGCTTCCTCGGGGAAGCCGTGGCAGGTGGATAAATGGAAGGGATAGCCCCCCACCACCCCAATGTCCTCAATATGAGTTTGTGTTTCTGCATGCATGGGTTTTCTATGGGATTTTCTGCTAGGGGAAGTGGAGATGGCCACCGATTTGGATGGCTTTAAAAGGGGAATGAACAGTTTCGTGGAGGAGGCGGCTGTCAGTGGCTACTAGCCTTGCTGGCCACATGCGACCTCTGTTACCAAGGAGTGGCCTGCCTGCTACACCCGGTGCTGAGGAGCTTGGGCAGGAAGTGGTCTTCCACCAATCCTGCCAGAGGGATGGCTGTGAGCAGCTGGTTTGCCACCATGTGTACGGAGCGCTGTACTAGATGGACGTTGGCCCTGATCCAGCAGGACGTTCCTTATGTTCCTGTGTATATTTCTGATTGATCCCGAAACTTCGGGTGCTTTTTCACAAGGTATGTGGGTGTTTATTTAGTGGGGGGTTGTAGAAGAGGTTGCCTTACTGCCGGCAGGGTATGCCTGGCACCCCCGGGACACGCTGGCCTGCACAGCGCCTCTTGCCATTCTCAGATTAGATAGGTCAGGCATGAAAAGATGGCCTTTAAAAGCATCCCAGCTATTTATAGTGAACGGCGTGTCCCAGACATCCCCGCTCTCCGACGAAAATACGGAAGTGGAGGGTGGCTTGTCAGAGAAGATCAAAGCAGAGAAGAGATGGCCAGGGAGAGACTTGTTCACACAGACAGTTTATCCCGGGAAAAAGTCGGCCTCTTTCTGGTTGAGGGATTATTTCGAGGCTGAAGTGAGCGGAAGGTGAATGAGCAACCCCAAGGAGAAAGCACTGAATCGATCTTTCTCTGGCCTGTGAGAAGCCAATGGAACTAGAGCTGCTATTTCCGGAACTGGCATTCAATACCCTCCTTAAGTTTGAGACTACAGGCTCCATCTGCTCCAGCCAGGACAGCCGTAGTCAGGGATGATGTAACCCGCAGTCCCAAAGTGTTGGATGGGGTCTCAGCAGGCCCGTTGTAGTTTCTGCACAGACACGAAGCTCACGGGATAACTTTGGGCCGGTCGTGGCCTCCCAGCCTATCCTACCTCACAGGGTTGTTGTGGAGATAAAATGGGGAGGAAGAGGCCCTTGTAAGCTACCTTGGGCTCCTCACAAGAACATAAACAAGCCCTGCTGAATCGGACGAAGGTCCATCTGATCGCACGGTGCCCAGCCCACTGCTCGGGGGAAACTCACGACCCAGGAAGGAAGGAAGGACAGACGGAAGGCCAGAAATGCAGTGCTGGATAAATCAAGACGCCGTGTCCTGCGGGAGGAGGCTAGGCAAGCTCGTCCCGCTGGAGGACGGTCAGGTGGCCCGGGAGCCCCTCTGCAGTGGCGCTGGTGAGTCTGTCAGCAGTAGGCGCGATGCCGCGTGACTGTGACTGCCGTCCTTGAGTAACCGCTCGTCTCTGTGCTTTGTCCGCGCAGTGTTTCCCCTCGCCTGTGCTGTGCAAAATTATGCGTGGGGCAAGCTGGGCCAGGAGAGCGAGGTAGCCAAGCTCTTGGCAAGCAGCGACACCCTGGTGCGGATTGACCCCGACAAGCCGTACGCGGAGGTAAGGGCCTGCCCCCCGTGCCCAGGTGCCACCAGGGGGTGTACCCCCGCCCGCCTCCCAGGCCCCACACCAAGGCAGCACTGCCCTCCCTATGCAGCCTGGTGGAACTGGAAGCCTGAGGGAAGCCCTCTGGTTTTCCTCTCCATCCAAAGCTGCCGCCGGGGGGCCCCATCCTCAAAAACCAAGCCCGGGTACCACTTTTGTCTCCAGGTGCTGTTTGTCTTGTGGGACTCTAAGAAGCAGATTTATTGTGGCATCCGGCTCTTGCAGACTTGACTCTGCAAAGCTTACGCCGCAATAAATCTGCTGCCCTGCAATGCTACATCTGTTCAGACAGAGGGAAAACAGTAATTCCCAGCATCCCCCAGGCAGTACTGGAATTTATGTTCTTGTCTGAAGATGTACGGAATGGCCCCCTTCGTCTTTTTGAAGTGCCCAAATGCTTTTCGTCGCTCCTGATATAATAGACTTAAGCCTGCAGTCCTGTGCCCGCTCTCCCGGTGGAGATGTCAGTGGAACTTAATGGGCCTCCATTTTGTGTAGGACTGCAGTGTGAGTTGTTATACCTGAACCTTGAGAGCTACTTGCGCCATTATTTTATTTATTTTTATTTATTTATTTTTCGATTTAGATCCTGCCTTTTTCCTACAAAGGGCTCAAGGCAAGCTTAAACTAGTTTAAGGGAAACGATTATTTATTTATTTAATGTCTTTATATTGTGATTTATATCCGTGTCGGTCTCTCTCTCCCACCCGCTAGCTCTGGATGGGGGCGCACCCCAAGGGAGATGCCGTGATCCTGGATAACCGCATCCCCCAGAAGACCCTGCGGCAATGGATCGCAGACAACCCGGGGTGCCTGGGCTCAAAGGTGAAGGACACCTTCCAGGGGCAGCTGCCGTTCTTGTTCAAAGTGCTGTCGGTCAACACGGCCCTGTCCATCCAGGCCCACCCCACCAAGGTAAGGCCAGCGCCTTGCGGGCCGCTGCCCGGGGACCGTCCTGCTCGTGCCTCGCTGTGGGAAACGCTGCACTGGCTCTCGGAGCAGACAGAGCGTGCCTGCAGTGTCCTGCAGGAGCACTGGCCGCAGGCTGAGGGCCAGTTGGCAGTGCTGCGCTTGGCGCCAAAGGGTTGGATCCCACGGACCGCTTCTCCGGAAGGGAGCCTCTCCGGCGCAGCCGCAGGCTTCTTCTTACGGACAATGCCAGGCTCTTCAGAGCGGTGGCATGGCAGCTCCTGCTCCGTGCCTCTGTCCCCGCCTGCGTGGCATGGTCCTGGTGGGCTTCGTGGCCCTCGTGGCCCTCGTCTGTCCTGGGCTTCCACCAGCCAAGGGGACTAGCGCCGAGGCTGGGACAGGGCCCGGCTCTCAACTCCCCTTCCTTCCCAGGAGCTGGCAGAGAAACTGCACGCACAGAACCCGGACCACTACCCAGATGCCAACCACAAGCCAGAGATGGCGATCGCGCTGACCCCCTTCGAGGGCATGTGCGGTTTCCGGCCTGTTGAAGAGATTGTGGCTTTCCTCCAAAGTAAGCTTGTGACAGAAAGGGAAGGCCACCTGTCGTGGCATGACGCAAGATACACATTTCTTAGAGCAGGATGGAGGTACTTGTAGGCCGCAACATCTGGGGGGCCTCAGCTCCCCTCGCCCCTCACCATTGGCTGTGTTGGGTACGGCTGGCGAGAGGCATAGGCCGAAACACCTGGAGGGCCACACGCTGCCCACCCTGGGCTGTGCCTGAGGCAGAGCGCTCTGGCCATAGAAATTAAATGAAGCAATGACCCTCTTGGAACGACTTGGGGCCGAGATTCGGACGTTTTGCACCGATCACAGCCCCTCCGCTCCATGTACCTCCCAACCCATATGCTGCTGAAATAGTCTCGCAAGGACTTTCCCTAAAGCAGGGCTTTTGAACCACAGACCAGGTCCAGCCTGCTCGGGGCTCCAGCCCCATCCGCCAGGCACCCACCCCAGCAGCCCCTCCCTGCCCTCCGAAGACCAAGTGTTGGGCGGCCGCCTGGCCTTTGCCCAGGCCCCCCCATTCCAAGCCGCTGGAGGGCACATGGAAGGTCGGGTGCAGTCTTGCAGGCGTGTGGAGGCCACGAAGGCTGACCTGTGTCTTCCTGCAGATGTCCCCGAATTCCGGGCCCTCATTGGGAATGTGGCGGCCGAGCAGCTGGAGCGCAGCGTCGGCAACGACCCCCGGGGTGTGACCGCCGCGTTGCGTGTCTGCTTCACCCGGATGATGAAGAGTGAGAAGAAGGTCTTTGTGGACCAGCTCAATATGCTGGTGAAAAGGATTTCCCAAGAAGGTTGGTTCTGCGTGGGACCAAGACTCTTCCTCGTGTTCTAGAATAGGTTTCTCCAAGCATTCGGCTCCAGGGCTTTGGGCTGCGTCCACTTATTAGGTCCAGAGCTTCCCAGGGCTGCTTCTTGGAGATGGCAAGCCAAGCGCAGTGGGGCAGAGGGAAAGCAGGCCTGACACCGCAAGGCAGTTCTGCTCACAGAGCCCAACGCGGCTGGCAGGCTTCCGGTCGGGAGGCTGAGAGAGTCCCCATATGTGCCTGCCTGCCCCTCAAGATCTGGGGCAGAGGCCCTTCTCCCCTGCCCGCCCCTCAAGATCAGGGGCAGAGGCCCTTCTCCCCTGCCCGCCCCTCAAGATCTGGGGCAGAGGCCCTTCTCCCCTGCCCGCCCCTCAAGATCTGGGGCAGAGGCCCTTCTCTGGGAGCCCTCCCTGAAGGAGAGGAGGAGGGTGGCTGCCCGGAGAAGGGCCTTCTCTGTGATGGTGCCCCAGTTGTGGAATTTGCTCCCCAGAGAGGTAGGGCTGCCGCGGTCACTTTATTCTTTTCGGCACCAGGCTAAAGCCTTTTTATTTTCCCAGTGTTTTAAGATCTGGTTGTTTTAATTGGGGTTTGTCAGTTGGAATTTTTAGGGTGCTGTGTTTTATTTTACACTGTTGTGTTGTTACACCGTCCCAAGACTTTGGTAAGGCAGTCTAGAAAGGTTTTGAATGAATAGCAAGAGCAAACGACCCCGCCGGGAGGCTGCTGCAGGGCAGCTCTCCAGCCTCTCCTCACCTCCGCCTGTTCCTCAGCCGCCGCCGGGAAAGATACCTCCGCCAGCTGCGGGGAGCTCCTGCTCCGGCTGCACTCCCAGTACCCGGGAGACATCGGTTGTTTCGCCATCTACTTCCTGAATCGGGTCCTGCTGCAGCCCGGGGAATGCATGTTCCTGGGCGCCAATGAGCCCCACGCCTATCTCTATGGAGGTAAGCCAGCCCCGCCCCCCCCCCCCCAGGCTCTGCCTTAAGTACATAACGGATGGAAACTCAGCCAGTGCAGGTGGGGATGTGTGGGGGGGGCGGGGCGGGGGGGTGCCTTCCCAGGGACCCCCACCTGGCACGCCGGTCAGCCCCCTTCTGGTTCCGCAGACTGCATCGAGTGCATGGCCTGCTCCGACAACACCGTGCGTGCTGGCCTGACCCCCAAGTACATCGACGTCCTCACCCTGTGCGAAATGCTGAACTACACGCCGTCCCCCAGCAGCTCCAAGCTCCTGGCCCCCTCCCAGTGCCACCTGGACCCCTGCATCTGCCACTACGAGCCCCCAATCCCCGACTTTGCGGTCATGAGGATAGAGGTGAGCCCTGCTCTTCCCCTCCCCGATGTGGGGCCAGAGTCCACTGCTACAGAGGCGGTTCATTGTGTGTGGCCCCTTGCAGCCTTTTCCCAAGGATTTTAAGCTACACCCTCTCTTCTGGGTGTGCCTCCCTCTCCCATCTTCACAACTGCCCTGCAAGGTAGGCCGAGCCGAAAGAGCACGGTTGCCTTTGCAACCTTTCCGTGTGCACACAGCTCTAACCCCGTCCTTGGTCACCCATCCTACCTGTGACCTTTGGGCAAGGCCTTCCCACAGTCCTAGCTTTTCATTCTTCTTCGTACCACCCCAGGCCTTGTGCCGAAAGCATCAGCTTTGCAGGGGGAAGCGACAGACACACGTTTCGGCTGCTTTGTGTCCTTTGGTCCTCGGAAGGCTCTTCTCGGCGAGGGTGTGCCGGTGGCGTCCCGATCCGTTGTGGGGTTGCAGCCCAGTGCTTGCGACACAGTCACTGAAACCTCAGTTGAGCACGAGCTGCTGGAAACGAGCTCCAAAGCGCTTTGGAGGCCGAGGGAAGAATTCCAGCTCGGACGAGGGTCTCTGTCACCCCCTTCCTGCTTGAGCAGCGTTGTCCTGACTCTCGCTCTCCCTTGCAGATTCCTTCCTCCATCAAGATTTACCTTGTTTCGGCCATCGACTCGGCTAGCATCCTCCTGGTGGTGCGGGGAACCGCCGTCGGCACGTCCACCGCGGCCCAGTCCGACATAGCCCTCCGCCGGGGCACCGTGCTGTTCATCTCGGCCAACGAGAGTGTCTCCTTGCACCTGTCCAGCAACGAGGGGATGCTGCTCTTCCGAGCTTACTGCCCCTTGTAACGCGGGCCGCGCGCTCTTCCCGCCTTGCTGTGACTTGGCCTAGGATCAGTAGGAACTGGCTCGCGCCCGCCGTTGCACCCAGCACCAGAAGCCCAGCAGCATTAGGACTCGCCCCTCCTCTGTATTCCACCTTGGCTTTGCCCTGCTCCGCTGCACCGCCGGCTCGTTGTCGCCAAGCGTGGGGCAGGAAGCACGTGGGCGGGCGGCCGGCCCGCGTGAAGCTGTACCCCCCCCGCCGGCCAGCAGGCACGAAGGAGCAGTATTAAATTCCCCTGCACCAGTGTTCTGAGCTGCTGTGGATTGTTCATGGCCCGGCTTTCCCCCTACTTGGCTACGATTCCCAACATCCGCGGCCAGGTGTAGGATGGCACATCTCAGCAGCGCTTGTCTGGGCAGCTGGTGGTGCTCCAGATGTTTTCGCCTACAGCCCCCATCATGCCTCACAGAATCGTAGGAGAGTGGCGTTCATGGGGCCGTGAAGGCCATCGGGTCCAGCCCTCCGCTGCCGCTGGACACCACGCCGCCCCACCCCACCCCGTGGCTGCAGCTGATGGAAGCTGTGGGCCAAAACATCTGGCAGGATCCCAGCTGTCCCCCCCCCCCCCCCCCGGGGCCCTCCCAAGTTTCAGGCTTCAGCTTTCTCTCCGGCACTGCCAGTTGTCGGGAATCCTAGGAAGCGGCACCCAAAACACCTGGAGGGGGAGTCAGGGAAGCCCCCCATGCCTGGAGCTGCTTTTACGGGGCACGGGGCTGCATGAGCGTGGGCAGCCCGTGGCTCCCGTCCGACCTCTGCTCGGCGCCAACCCCAACGGCAGTGGGTGGTGGGCGCTCCCCCCGCTCTGAACTGGGACAGGTCCTGAGCAGCCACCTTCTCAGCTGGGCGATGAAGAGTCTGGTTTGCCCAGGCGCTCGAATGCTCCGGTGAAGCTAGGGCGAACGCGTGTGGAGGTTGCCCTCTGACCATTGCCGACGGCCGCGTTCCAGCGACGCACCCACGCACTCCTTGAGGGGAGCTTTAGACGCTTCCCATAATCTGGCAGTTTCCCTCCCGGATTGGGATCCTCCACCTCAGGGGTGAGGGGAGCAGCCCAACTTGTAACAGGATCCTTTAGTGAGCTTTGGGACTCGGCAACGGTTCGGATGGCGCGTCGTCGCCTGGCCTGTATCTTCCGGGCTGTGGCTTCAATTCTGTTCGTATTGCGAGCGGCAGTCCTTCCTCTGGCTTTGGGTGGGCAGAGCAAACGGTACAGGCAGGTGCCATCTGGAGGCTGATGCAGGTCTCCCGCATGGAGTCCTAGCTTAGCATGAGAGGAAGGCACTCCAGGTTAACCCTCTTCTCCTACACAAGCACCTGCAGGTGGGAAGCCTCCCCTTCCGCCTTGGGGCCTAGTTTGCCATGTTGTCCAAGCCGCACATGGCGTTTAAGCTTAGCTGGGCTTACTTTGAACAAGCCAGCTTCAGTTGCTACCGTTTGAAGTGGGCTTGTTTGAAAGCAGCTATAATTGACACAGTTTTAAAGTCTCTTTACAGTATTGAAATAGGAATTACAAATTCATTGAATCTGAAGTCGGGGCGGCTGGTCTTAAGGATTCTGTTCCATGATTTGTGCCTTGGAAGTTTGAAAAACCATCGAGTTGTGGTTTCACGGTTAGAGAAGACTACCAGTTTTGACTCCAGAAAGCACTTCCAATTTTCCATTTTAGATTTGATTTACTGTAGTTACACCGACAGCTCAAGTAGAATAAGAGGATTCAGCGGTGTGGGGTTGTCTCTGATGGAGACAGTACATCACTAGAAAAACCAAGATTCCTCTCTCAGCCTGCCCTGTGCTCCATGTATGGGTACATAGGGACAATAATTCTCAAAGAATGAAATGGGTGAAAATAGGAGCATGAGACACCGAACCGAAGTCTGGCCTGATTGCACAGAAGGAGCCACCCTGTGGACGCGGAGCAGGCCGGGGGGGTCTGGTCGTGGGTGCAAGGGGGAGTCCCCGGAGCCACATGTAGCCGCCTCGAGTTCTGTGCTGGGACACACGTGTAATCTCCCACTCAGGTAAATTGCCACTTCAAAGCCAAATGTAACGAATTTGCCAAATAAAGGAGACACTGCGGCCAACTACCCTTAAGAACTGCAGGCCTCTCGCATCTGTTCTTAGCCTCAAGATGATTTTCACAAGTGCTGCCCGAGTTGCACGTTTGTAAACTGAAATAGCCCACACGTTCCAAAAAAGGCGCTGCCAAGGAAAGTGCGATCCCCGTGAATCGAGCTGCCGGGTGGAAGAATTGAGAACCGCCCTTGCTGCTGCATGATCTTAAAATGCCAGTGTGGAGGTACCGATGAGTGTTCGCTTCCTCAAATTCCTCCTCCCCGTATCTCCCGGGAAGAAGCTCAAGAGGCCATGTTTCCTCTTCAAGGCTGTGCTCTTACATGCACTTACCTGGGAATAACCATGGACTGACTGTTCAATAGGCCCAGGAACACACGGCATCCTGGAGATGGTAGTTGCAACATGTACAGAGACGGAGGCGAAGATCTGTCACTTGGAAGATGAAGGAAGGGGGTGCTGCCTCCTGAAACCGCTTCAGAAAACACTTGGGGTCTCTGGCGCATCTCCGGGGCCTGGGAGACGGCCAGACGGACGGTCCTGGGCGGGCGGGCGGGCGGGCAGGCGTGAAGCTCTAGCGAACTGGGATGGCAGGGATCGGCGACCTGCTGCACAGCTCTCCGTGGAGAGACTCCCAGATCAAATCCTGAGCATCGCCAGTCCGCAGAGTCCCTGGCAGCAGATTCTTCTGTGCCAAGACCCTGATGCCGCCCAGAGCAGGCAATACGAGAGTACGGACACCCGTGATCTGAGCCAAAATAAGACAAACGACATGCACTAGTTCATCCCAGGGCTCTTACCGACCAGCATTTTCCAGCCTGGAACCCTCCAAATGGGTAGGAACACACTTTCCATCCTTCCCGGGCATCCTCGCTGGGAACGCTACGGCGTTTCAGTCCAACGCGTGGGGAGGGAACCTGAGTGGGAAAGGTGATCTGCTGCCTTTGGCCATGACGTTCGACTGAGAGCAGTCAAACGTGCGGCCTTGTCGATGTTGGGGCCTGCAGCACAGCCGGTGTGGCACAGCATGCAAGGGAGACGGACTGGGACGCAGGGAATCTTTATCCTAGTCCCCACCTGGGCAATAAGTTCACGGGGAAGGCTCTGCACCTTAGCCTCTTCCCAGGACTGTCCGCGAACGTAAGATGGAGAGGAATGACAAACACCAGCTTGGTTCATCACAAGGGGAAACAAGGTGGCACAAAACCGGGACAACAGGGTTTAGCCGTGAGCAACCGCACATTGCTCAGCCTGGTAGGAAGTAAGAGCCCACGGTGCGCCTCTCGGCACACAAACCGGTCACATGACAATACGGGACCGTGCAGTACGAGAATTTATTGGTACACGCTTCCCTTACTCAGGATGTACAAAACGGCGTAACAGACAGTTCTCCGTAAATACAATCATATTAAATATTGAGTAAGATTGTCCTTTGTGCATGTCAGCTCTATTATGTCAAAGAACGTTTTAATATGTTAAGGCAGGGCTGTTCACCCGCTACCAGGCAGCCTCGGATCTCCCCTCCACCTGAGACGTGCCTGTCGGTGGTGAACTGGTAGTTGTCTCTCTCTCCTTAGCCTGCTGGTGTTTCGGTGTACGCTCCACGCCTCCAAAGAGCACACCGTTAAAGCTTGTTGCAAAGAATATTTTTGGAATGAAGAGTTCAAACTTAGCCACGCGTCTCTACCTTCGGCGGCAGGGAAGCCACCTCTGGAGGGTTCTGCTGGCAAAGGACACGCCATCCAGCTCCCCAGTACAGAGAAGAGCACGACAGTCGACGGACACACAGCAGTTCTATCAGCAGCCGGCTTTAGCCGAGCACTTATGCCAGCATTTACCCTTTTAACTGAAGAGCTGCAGGAGTGCAGCTCCGGTCAACTCCACTTTCCGGAGGCATTTCCCAGCGGAACAGCAGGGAAATGCTGGGTTGCCCTAACGCAGCCTCTTCCCCAACCTCGTGCCTTCCAGACACGTTTGGACTGCAACACCAGAATTCCCAGTCAATGGCTCTGCGGGAGGGGAATCCTGGGAGTTGTGGTCCAAATGCTGCTGAAGGCCATTAGGCTGGGGAAGCCTGCACTCTTCTCTCCTGCCAAGAGCAACTCTTCTGTCTCCCACTCCCCACTTTTTTTTGAGAGAGCAAGCAAAGCAGAAACATCGTGCTGGGAAACCTTCAGATTCCCAAGCGCTCGTCCAAGAGGCGGCTGATGAGGTCTCCGTGTGTTCACACACACTTCGATTTAGGAGCGAGCCTCCGCGGGGCAAGCCAGCCAGGGCAACGCGCGGCTCCAGGCGGGTCGTGTCTACCAATTCCTGGGGTCCTTGAAGCAGCAACGGCCGCCGCCGGCAGCCAACAGGGCAGGAGTGTGGGGCATCACGCCCACAAGTGCCGCCGGAAGCGTCCGGGCCGCGGCTCATTTAGAGCACAGACGTTCGCGGCCAGCGGCGGTCCCCGACGTCCGGTGCACATTCCTGCTGCACCCCATAGCACGGGCTTGCCAAGACTGCCTGGAGCATCACACGTGGTGCATCAGTGGCCGGTTCCCCCAGCCCGAAGCTACCAGCACGCAGGGCTAGTCTGCCCCCAAAACGGTTTCCCCATTGGAAGAGGGACACCTGTGCCACTCCAGAGGTTCGGATGAGCCCCGGCAGACACTGCCCAAGTCAGAAGATCACAAGACCGGTAGGGCAGAAGAGCCAGGAGGCCACCCACTGCCCAGCCCGGGTCAGCGGGACTGACGATGCCGAGCGGCCCTGGCTTCTTCACGTCCTCCCCGTTCTCTGTGACAGTGACATGAAAGCAGCAACGCCGGTGCTTGTAGTGTAGGAGAGGCATCGCCAGAGAGGGGCCTGACTCTTGGCTCTCGCTGCCCACCGCCGCTCAGTACGGGTGGAAAAACGACCGGAATGCCGCCTCTCTGAAGTTCATGGGGGCGGGGGGAGACCATGCAGCGGGGAATGGACCACCCCTTCCCCCATGTGAAGCAGGTCATTACAAGTTGGGTTAGATGGGGCTTACGGTCAGTGGCAAAGCCTTCGACCGCCTCTCTCAGCCTCGTGCCCAGCAAGCGCGGTGGAAGTCGCTGCCCACGTGGAACCCGGAGGCCCCGAGCGGAGGAGGCTGTGCCGAGAAGTGCCACTGAGCCAGAACCCTGATCGCCTTGACGCACGCAACGCAAAACCGGATGCCCAAAGCTTACCTTGCCCTCGTCTTTCTCCGGCTCTGGAGAGTGGGAAAGGCAGAAAGACGCCAGCCTGGCTGAATCGCCACTAACTTCCAACCAAGACAACCGCGGCAGCAAATGACCCGGAATTGACTGTCAGCAACCGCCATCTTCCTCCGTGGCAGTGCCAGCCACCTCCTAAAGAAACGCAAATTTCACCACCGTGCCCCCCTGACAAGGAGCGCCAGCCTCCAGGGCAGGAGGGAGGACCGAACGGCATCTCGGCCTTTTGCGGGAAAATGCACCGATCTTCCCCTGCTTCAGGAGGCGTCTTTCACAAGTCTGGGACCCAACGGCCCGGGACCAACTGGAGATGGATGATAGAAAGATTCCTCCAAGGAGTGGGGCTGGCGGGGGCAGAACGGCCATCAGGGAGCGACGTGGGGTCCAAAGGACAGCCGAGCCCGCCGGATCCATCCTCTCCCTCCTAGGAAGGGGGCGCCACCGTGTCCCATCTGCACAGTCTCCACACCCTCCTAAGCTGAGGTGCTCCAGGCTCCTACACCCAACAGACCAAGAGAGTCCCCTTCTCCTGACCTTACGTGTTTGTTTGCTTTTTTGGTAAACTAGAATCTCTGCTGCCTTCGTTCACTTCCAGCATGAGTGCGTGCAGGGGTGCCAACGCTCCGCCTGGCCACTTCTCCCCTCCACTGTGCAGCGACCTCAGGACAAGGCCGGCCTCGCCCGCCCGCCCACCCACCCGCGGCCTCCTGAGTATTTGCCCGTAATGTCGTTCTATAGTGCACCACAGAAAGCCACTCTGAGAAGACGCTTGGCACCCCAAGCAAGTGCCGACAGTGCAAGGACGCGCCCATCCACCCGCCCAGGTGCCGGAGCACCCCTCCTCCCCCCCGCCCCACTCGTCCGACCCACGGTCCGGCGCTGGACGTGGCCGCTCCGCCGCGCGTCCAAGGGAAAGACCAAAGTGCCGCTTGCTTGACCTGTGCCGCCCCGCCCTTACTGGACGCAGCACGAGGGAGACTCCCCGAAGCAGCAGGCGCAAGGCGAGGACGACACGGGCTTGGGGGGGATGAGGTCGAGGTCCTCGTCGTCCGGGATTTCGTCCAGGTGATACCCGTCCTGCAGCAGCTGGCGGCTGAGATCCTGGTTGACCTGGGAAGCCCAAAAGGAGAGGTGAGAGGAGGACGTGAAGGTGTCTGCCGAACAACGGAATTGCAGGAACGGGAAAAAATGTACAAATCCTGCCCCCAAATGTAAATTTCCATGCTTCAGCCTGTGGCAAGAAATGCCCATTTTTGCTTGGTGGTTTTCACGTTTTGCTTTTCTCTACGACTAAATTTGTATAACATTTGGACAATAAAATATCTGCAGAATTGGTACGATTTGGTTTGAGGACTCACAGTCAGAACCCACGACTCGGATTAATAGAACTGCAAATTCATGGGAATCTGTGGTGGTTCTCCTGACGTCACTACTTATTTCCCGGAGTGAGCTTTTGCTCACCGCCACTGCAAGGCGCTACTGCAGGAAGCAAGAGTCAAACAAATCGACCCCAGCACAACGCCACACAATCTCCCAGCGCGCGGGAAGAGCAAAGCATCAGACTTGCCTCTGCAGAAGAGTAACCAGAGGAGCATCTAGATTCCAACTCGCCGTCACTAGGAAAAGAACATTGAGAGTCAGGACAAAAGGACATTTCCGGTTCCTGCTTCGCTGCCAAGAACCGGGCAGCTGTTCTGGCCACATCTGCAGAAGGTCTGCTGGATCAGACCAAACGCTTTATTTCATCCAGCATCCCGCTTCCCATGAGCCTCTATGCAGGACCTGCAAGCAGCGCCCCCCTCCTGCTCCTGCCCTCCAGCAGTGGGTCTTCAGACCGCCCTGCCTCTGAACGCGATGCTCCCGACAGCCATCCGACCCTCTAGGAATCTCCTTTAGGAAGCTGTTTCACCTGCTGGCTGGTGCGCTCACCTCACTGGCTTTTCCTACCCAGGAATGCCAGGCTAGCCCCGCTCACCTGTCAGAATCCAGGGACACCAAGGTTTCGTCAGAGGTCTGGCTGAGAGCAGCATAGCCCTTGTTGAACTTCACTGACCTGGGGAAAGAGGCGCCCAGTCAATACGAAGCATCCAGCGATACGGGCAGGTGCAGGGGAAGGGGACAGGCAGCGGGGCCGTGCTCTCGATGACAGGCTGTGTGAGGATGCGGGGGACCCAAGTATAAACTTTTAATGAACCACAAAATGGCCCTGAGCCAGCCAATTTGCCTCAGCCCAGCACACCCAACGGGGGTTACTGGGATGATACCGGAGAATTAAACAGTGAGGTCAAACACATACAATGAAAAAGAACTTGGGATGAGGCTGGGGAGGAAGAGAGGTGCCAAACAATGGTAAAACATAACGGCCATACTATGAAATAATACATGGATGGGGAAGTCCAAAACAGGGGTCTTCTGCATGCAGGACTCTGGGATGCCAAGCCCGGGGAATTCAGTCAATTCCCCCCACCCAAAACCCCCCAGACGTCCCTACGCCTGCCTATCCCAGGAGCTGTGGACACCAAGCGAGCAGCTTGCCTGGCAGGAGGTTGCTGCGACAGACGGCCTGGCAACGGGGATTCCTCGTTGGTGTCACCGCTGGCTTCATCTCTCTGGAGCAGGGAAAGCGAGTGACGAGCCGAGGGCCAGACCCAGCTCCCCCGAGATTCCACGTGCCCCCTGAGGCCCTCCAGGTGGCCATGCCCCCCTTCTGCCCCCACCCCCTTTTCCCGGCCACCAGTTGCCTCATGTCTTCTCGGCTTTGCGCCGTCTTTTCTCCCATCACGAAATCCCTTTTCTAAGGCTTAGTTACAGGCAGGACAAGAGTGAAGCTCCAACCTGTAGGCATCCGGGATATTTGTTCACCTCACCCCCTCTGACCTTTGGCCTCACTCAACCAGCAAAATGGAACTTGGGTCTTGGTCTGAAAGAGGCCCCTTAATATGCCCCAGAGCAAAGCATTCTGGGCAAACAGAGCAGCTCCATCAATTGCCAGTACCGTGACCTACAGGGGTTTGAGCCCCGGCTCCGGGGGGGGAGCCAAAGGCCATGCAGAAGCCACACTGGGGCCTCAAGTGGCCAGGCTGGAGACTAGCGCTGTTTCTCCTGCCCCCAGAGTCTGGGTGCTGCTCCTCGCTTCCCCAGCTTCCCGCAACAGATGCGGGGAACAGATGACGGAGCTGCTCTGCTTCCCGTATGCCTCGCACGCCGGGCGAGTCCGAAAAGCAACCGACACCGTTCACCAATGAAAGGGGAATGGCTCAGACCTTTTGGTTGCCGGCCTGGGCTGGTGCTGGACGGCTCCCGAGAGCACTCCCTTCTTCCTCAGCATCGCCTTCGCCATCTCGCGATGTTTCTCTGCAATTCAGATGGAGCCCCACCACAACGGGGCGTCAGCGAGCGTCACAAGCACCCAAGCCTGGAGGCCCGACTGCCTCCCATGAAACGCTCTTCTTGAGTCACTGCCACCCACAGGCCCAGTCACACAAATATTTACTAAACAGGGACAGCGGCTGGCAGGAATCTATCTCCCGCCAGCTCCACCTTGCACAGGATGATGGCCCTTCTGCCTCTAGTGAAAGACAGCCAAGAATAAAAACTAATAGGAAAAGGCAACATCAAAACTGGGCCCACTTTTGGGTAGATGCTTCAGGAGGGCCCCAAGTGACGCAGCCCTAGACAGAATGCACAAATAGGTTCCTCTTCCATTTGCATGATGGAGAATCTGCTCTAAAGCAGAACGGAGGGCTCAGAACAAGCCAGGGGCCATTTACACCACTGCTATTCTCTCTTCCTCTGAGGAACATTTCCTGGGTCCCACCCTCTCCAACTGGGGAGACATCGATAACGCGCAGGTGTTATGGTCGTGACTTACGCAATTTGTCTTGCAGAGAAGGAGCTCTGCTCATTATGTACGGCCCCCTTTTTTCCACCTGGGGCTGCCTGCTCGTCCTCTTCTTGTTCCTGTGCCCCTGTTTAGGAGGACAAGTTTTACGGCTCTTGAGCTGAACACTGTGAAGCCCCAAAAGGAATGCAACAAAATCACACAGGACTGCTTTCCTCCCTTTTATAACACCATTTTTTTCAGTGCTGCCCCCCCCCCCCGGTGTTTTATCTGTGTCTTTTCTTCCATTATATATGCTCTGTAGCTTTACTGTAAGCCACCATGGAAGAGTTTGTGATAAAGGAAAGGGTTACTTATAATCAACTTTCCTATTGATATATAATCATGTGATCTCTAAGCTCAACTCTCGCAATCAATCCATCAATTCACATAGAGGCATGCATGAAATGGGGATATATGAGATGGGGAAAGACTAGCTTCAGAGGCCAGCTCAGAGTCGACTCACTGAAATCACAGAATCATAGAACAGTAGAGTTAGAAGGGGCCTCTAAGACCTCCGAATTCAACCTCTGCTCAATGCAGGGTACCAAGTTAAAGAGAGATGGCTTTCCAACTGCCTACTGAATGCCCATGACTGATTTTTAAATCTCACTGATTTTAATCGATCTCCTCTAGGAAAGATTGAAACTGAATACAACCCAGACTTTCTTCAACTCATTAAATCACACACCCTGATCTTTAGTCTTTCTGGTCATGATTGCCAATACAGTGTTTCAATCAACAAAGCCCCCTTGTCAGGGCAACTGATCACACCTTTTCTTTAATCAGCACTCAACACAAATGCAGAGGTTAAAGACAAGGTGGCAGTTACAAAGATCTAGAGCGTACAAGGAGAGCCCTGAGTTTTCCCACACACTTGAGTTGCCTGCATGAGCAGCTTATTTGCACGTGGGCTTTTGCAGGTCAAGTTCGCGCCAAGTGCCATTTCCTTCAAGGTCTTGCTTCCCATGCCCGGCACCAAAAGCCACAAAGGGCAGGTAACAGGCTTACCCCAACAACAGTGGCCGAGGAAGGGAGACAAATGGGACAGGAAACCAACCTCCATAGCAGAGGACAGGAAACCAACCTCCAAATGGATATCTGACTCTTTCTGAAAGCTGTGCACAGAGCTTCCCAGTCATCTCGTTCTGTCTGCATTAATTGGCATGCTTAAAAGGTAAGGGACTAAGCAAGCTTCACTCCAGCTTTTTCTCCGCCTCGCCCCCACCCCCAACTTGTCCAAATGCAACTGCCTGGAACAGTCCAGAAAAGCCGTGAAGCGAAGGCTCATCATTGACAGTTCTAGTCACCTCTTTGACCAGACCTATGATGAGCCCTGCGGGATCACGCCAAGGGCGATCAAGCTCAGCATCCTGTTCACCCAGCAGCCAACCAGCTGCCCACAGGACACCCATATGCGGGTCAGGGTCAGGGTCAGTTCCCCTGCAACTGCTGTACATCAGCATCACCGCCTCTGAAGTACCAGAGCCACCAGGCCCAGTAGCTACTGAGAGCCATCCGGTTTCTCCTTGGCAGGAACTTTCAACCCAGCCCCAACACTGCAGTTGGCACAAACCGCTTTATTTAACAGATCCATGCACTGGATGCATTTGCTGCATTGCTGCGTGTTGTCGTCTCTCCCCTTAAAAAACAAAACAAAACAGCGAAACAAACCACAGCTGTATTTTGAAAGAAGATACGGTTTCCTCGGGGGCAAAACGCAAGTGCAGCCTCGGGGTGATGCAGGGCTGCTGTCTTGGACTACAGCGCCCCCCGCCGATGACTCACTGGCCATCGCGCTGGGAGTGATGGGCGCCACTGTGCGACAGAGCCAGGGCGGTGTGGTGGTGAAGAGCCTGGAACTGGGACTCGGGCGACCCGGGCTCGAGTCCCCGTTCGGCCATGGAGCCCGCTGGGTGAACTGGGCGAGTCACAGACGCTCGGCCCAGCCTACCTCGCAGGGTTGTTGTTGTTGTGGGGATAAGAGGGAGGAGGAGAAGGATGTCAGCTGCCTTGAGCCCCTTGAGGAAAAAGGCAGGATATACGTCGAAAAATAAACAAAACCCTGAAACACGTGGGAACTGCGGTCCCGCACGCACGGGGGGCAGGGCTGGGGAAGCGCCTCCCGGCGAGGGAGGGTCCCGGCCCGCGCCTCCCGGGGCACCGCGGCTAAGAGGCCGGGCGGCCTCCCGGGCGGGCGCGGCCCCCAGCCCAAGCCGGCCGCCGGCCCCCCGCCCCGCGAGCCCGCGGAGCCCCCCGCCTACCGG